GTTTTTTGATGTCGTGTGAAAGATTCTTTAATCCAACTGCATCCACTATCAACAAAAATATTCTTCTGTCTAGATTCTCGGCACCATTCACAGAACATACGATTTTTACCATCAACGGTCTCTTTAACACCCATGGGTATGATTTTTTCTATGCTGGGTTAAAATCTAAGATTTTCCTTAAGCAGACGATTTGGCGTTGGTATTAGCTTAAGTTTTTTTGTGTGTCGTGAGAAAATAGCAGACGAGCGATTTTTTGAACTGCTGTTTGAAGATTCTGCTGTAGTTTTTCCTTGCAGCTACGTCATCCTGAATGAGGAATTTTGTAATTGGACCACTCATTATCTCGACCGTTAGATGAAGAAGCAGGGAGCAAATTTTAAAGCGTTTTTAGAATTTAATTTATGAACATTTGATCACAGATCTGACAATTTTACTAATGCTACGTGAAACAATAGAGAACTCTGATTAGGTGAGCCAATAATATTATTTATGTGCACGATGTGAAGAATGTGCACGGCTGATGATATTTCTTATAAAAAAATGCGCTCTATGGTTTTAAAAATTTATATGAAAACCATGCACATCCCAAAGACAAAACATGTGCGCAAATTCACATTGTGCACATCAATTTCAGACACTGCTTTTCGGGATGTTAAGTTATCTGAGAGTGTCGGGAGGTTGGGATATCGGAAAGATGATGTCGGGATGTTGGCGTAGACCCATCCGCTATACCGAAAATCCGTTATATCGAGAATCACTATGTACCTTGTATAAATATTACATGTGTAACTTAGCTCTAAATAATTGAATTTGCTAATTACTGTTTACCGTTCAAACGTAAATTGTAATGATGGATATCGAAGCTACAAGACAGAAATTTTTGAATATCTCGCAAAGGGGGAATTTATAAAGCAATTTGGTTGAATGTTAGATCATGAAGAAAATAATGTTTTTCTAAATAGAAAGATAATTATCGACATGGTAATTCGAAACATTATGGAATAATTAAAACACCAGCTACGGGTGAATACTTGATAGTAATGAATTATGCAAAATATTGTGACTTACACAAATATATTAATTCCGACTATGAAATATTTATATAAAGCTCTTAGAAACATTATCATAAAGTAATTCCTACAGATATAAACAAATGCAAATTTATGACAGTCGAGTGATCATTATAAAGTTAATTTCAATTTCGTTACATATTAAATAATTATTCAAATAATTACAGTTTATATTCAAAAATCAGCTTGCAAAATTAAGTACAAAAATTTACATATGTTTTTTATAAGAAAAATATAAAAAGCACAGCCACAAAAAATAATTTAAATTGTACTTTACTTTATTATGCAATAATAAAGCATTGAATTTTTATAAAAATTTGATAAACAAATTTTACTTATGATCAATTATACAATAACTTGTTAAAATTAATTTTTAATTAATTTTTTATAAAAAATTTTATAATTGATTTGACGGGCTGATTCTTTGAATATAAAATGCCAATTTATGAAATAATTTACTGAGAATTGATATTTTATAATTTCAAATAAACTTATACTTTAGATATTAAAGAGTATATATAAACGCTTATATTATATGAATAATTATTTAATGATTTATAATCAACAAACTAATTGCCATTTATTTTGCACACCACTGAACATATTCAAAATAACAACTCGCATTAATTAGAACATAGTTTTATGGCATTTCAGTTTGTTTGTCTAAATGAAGGTAAATGTTCTTTTTCTTTAATTTATTATTGTATATTTTTTTGTATATACACATATTCCGATATAATTATACCACAAAAAACTAAAGAGAATGAAGAAAAAAATGGAATTTCAAAAAAAGATATAAATGTTTACTTCAAAATATAAAAAATTTTAATACAAATGATAATGTATATCAATATCAAATATAAACAAACTAATTCTCATTAAAAATTTAGAAACCAACATAGCCAGGACTCAGACACGCACCAGCCGCTATCACAATAATATGGATAGTTCTGAACATGAAAAATACGACATTATCAATAAAAATACGGCATAATGGAAAACTCAAAAGTTAACTTGATATTACCGAAGGGCAGCACTTGCTGCCATCAACGCAAACCGTGCCCTGAACACAAAAAATACAACATTGTTAATAACAATACGGCATAGTGGAAAAATCTAAAGTTGATTTAATATTACCCCAGGGCAGTATTCACCGTTACTACAGCAGACTGTACCCTAAATACATCAAAAAGAGAATGTATTATTAGTAATATTGCGTGGTAATATCTAACAAAATATGCGTATTACCTCGGGAATACACCAATTGTTATCACAACACAACGGGTAATCCTGAACACGAAAAATACGACATTAACAACAACAAAGTATACTATTAACATCTAACAAAAGTTAGAAGTATTCCTACCGGATAGCAAAACCCGTCATCACAAGCATACTGATGGTGACGTCATGAAGAGAAAATATATTAGCAATGCCAATGATATTATCTTGGTATTCACAAACAGTTCTTAAGTATGGTAAGAATCATAAAATTCTCGATTTTAAACTTTAATATATGATTCAAACCATATATTACCAAAAGGTTTGTGAATAACTCCATGGTAAACGATTTCGTAAATAAATAGTTACGTCTTTGTTTCCATTTGCGTTTGCGTTTGCGTTACCGATTCTTAAGCTACCGCCTCCTATGCCTCCGCTTCCGGTTTTTACTTTTCCTACCCCGGATGCCGGTGTTACTTGAACTGTTTGATTTTGGTGATTTTGGCAATGAGAAACTTCCACGATCAAAAAAA